ATGCTTGATTCAAATGATCCGGAAACTCCACATGGTGACTTCATTATTTAGAAAAGTTACATCTTATTAAATTGGCATGGCATGGACGTGTCCACTGGTTACAATCCTTTCAGTAATAACTGACAAATGAAATACCTTGGGAAATAAAGGGAATGACACAAAGAAAGGAGTTGATCACATTTAAAAATTTTACATGTATAAGAAACTCATAAACATATATACGTAATTCTTTAACATGTCAATATAAAAATTAGAATGCATAGATAATACAAAGGTTTAATGAGCTCTCACAATAGAATCACTGCTCTTTTGAGGGGTGTTTGTATGTGTGTGTGTGTGTGTGTGTGTGTGTGTGTGTGTGTGTATGTATGTGTGACTGTACCCTCTCACTTTGTGTTTGCCTACATATGTACATGTATAATTAATTACATGTTATGTTCTTGAATGAACTTTTATGTAAGTGGAAGTTCCCATATTGTAAAATTTGACATGACACTTTTCAGTTCCTCTTGTTGATAGGTAAAATGAATCCTCCCACCACTTGAATGTGGGCCATCACTGTGGCTGGCTTTGAGTAATGTGATAAGTAATTTTGATTGCCAACTTTATTGGATTAAGAAACACCTAGGAGATTAGTGAAACACATCTCTGTCTCCAAGATGACTAGATTCTGGGCCTCTGACCTAGTGAATAAATGGATTGATCCCTGGATGGATTCATAATATGATGGCATTATCAGGAGGTGGGGCCTAATGGGAGGGAGTAGGTCACAGGGGCTGTGTCCTTAGATGCTGTAGCTTGCTCAGCTCCTTCCCAAATCCTCCTTCTCTGCTTCTTGTCTACCAGCAGGACATGAAGACCTCTTCTTCCATCTGCTCTCACCACCATGCATAGAACTATAGGAACAAGTGCACAGAGCCAAGTGACCATGACCCTCTCTTCCTTTAAGTTGTTTCTGAGAGGTTTGGGGGGGAGCAGGGGAGAGGGTTAGGTATTTTGTCACAGGACCAGAGGAAAAACTAGCACAACTAATATTTCACAACAGACACAAGTTACTGAATCCTGATTTTTACATGGTTCTGAACTCAGGCCATCAGGTTTGCACAGCAAGTGCTTTTACCTGCTGAGCCATCTTCCTAGCCTCGCTACTTTTTCTAATATAAGATTTTATACAACTCTCTGTGAATTTCTGTGTTTTATATTTTCTTTTTTTGAGCCCAGGGCCTCATGCATGCTGAGCAAGCACCTCACCGTTGAGCAACACTCTCAGTCCATATATTCTTTTAAATGATGGTTAGGGAAGTGTGACCACAAGAGGAGATATAGGGAAGGTACAGGATAAAATAAACTCTAAACCAAGTTTTGGGTCTGTGAGATGGCTCAGTGGGTAAAGATGCTTGTTGCCAAACCTGACAACCTGAGTTCAATCCCCAGGACCCATATGATGGAAGGAAAGAACTGACTTCTGAAAGTTGTCCTTTGACCTCCACACACATGCCATGATACACATGTCCACAAATATACACATAACACATAGATACATACACATACAACACATAAATACATACACAGTAAATGAAAAGAAACTAAACAAGGTTCATCTTTTTATTTTACAGACGATATCAAACTTACACTTTTTTTGCTTTATGATGGTATGAAAGCAAGTAGAAATCATAATTCATAATTTTAATTTTGATCTTTTCCTGGACCAGCAATATGAAGCACAATCCTTGCTTGCAATGCTGGGTAGTGCTAGTCAGCCAAAGCTCCCATCAGCCTCATTATCACAAGGGGGAACAGTATGCTGTTGCCAAGTCAGGATGTCTGGTAAGTTGGGTGTACTAAATATGTTTTCAATTTACCTGATTTTTTTTAACCCTGTTGTAAGTCCAGGTACATTTGTATTTATAGGCTGTAGACACAAGAGGCATGCCATACCACAAAGGACCTTATAGAAAGACAGCAGGATGGTCAGGTTGTGGACTGTAGGGGTGAAGGTAAGTCTGAAAACAATGACTTCATCAGGGCTTTCAAGGCAGAACCGGTGAATGGTTTAGAACTGGCTGGTTTTAATACTTTTCCAGACTTTGGGATTTAGCAGTGATTTCTAGTTGCCTGGTACCTTGCTCTGGGATGATTAAGGCCAAGGAACATCACCTCCTGGAGTATACAGACCAGATGGAGTAGTTGTGGCTTAAATTGCTGGTTTGTGTATGAAAGATGTTGTGTTAGTCAACTTTCCATGCTGTGACAAAATAGCTGATATCAACAACCAAAACTGAGCAAAGGTTTATGTTGGCCCAGGCGTTTACATTTGTACACTTGACTCGATTGCTTTTGAACTGTGGTGAAGGAGTGAAAAGCGTTCACCTCATGGAGATCAGGAAATAGACAGGAAAGGACTGGGGCCCAATTCAGGACAAATCCTCAATGACCTAATTTCTTTTCACTAGGTCCCACCTCCTAAAGGTTCCACAATCTTCCAATACTGTCACAGACTTGTAATCAAGCCATCAACACATGGGACTTTGGGAGAGGCAGATTCTTGACTGAGTCCTTGTTAACTCTGTGAACCCGATAGTCACGAGAAGGGTGCTCTCTCCAGCAGGAAAGATGGATGTTTTAGTTGCTTAAAAATTTTATTCATGGTGCTGGAGATTGAAACCAGAACCCTGTGCATATTAGCCAAGTACCATATCACTGAGTTACATCACAAAGCCCAGAGAAGGTTTTGAAAATGCCAAAACACCATAGCATACAGAAAATGTAAAGATATTTACAGTGTGTTTGTGTGTGTGTTCATGTGTGTGCATGCACACACACACACATGTGCATGTATTAGGTTTAGTTCATTAATGGAAAAATGTGGTTTGGGGGAGGCAAATGATCAGTCTGTTGATCATAATACTGCATATTGAACACTATTTATTTCCATTTTCATGGATTTGGAATGCCACCTTTCCTCCAAATTAAACTGGTTTGTTCATCAGTTGTCCATTAGTGGATCAGTAATAAAATACCCCACAGTATCACAATTACTACTGCTTTAGAGTACATTGTGACAGTGGTAGTATTGGACTTTTCCAAAAACGTGTTAAATATTATTTTTTTTAAAAGAAAATATTACACTTGCAAATAACTTTCTTTGAATCTGGTTACATTGATAAGCTTCCAGTAATTTACCAGTTGATTCTTTTCTTATAGATAGTCTTAATTTGAAAGCAGTGAGAGGTTCCAACTTTTATTTTTCACTATTTTATTTTAATATTTTTATTTATTATTTATATATTATTTTACTATAATATTTATCATTTTATTATTTTATGTAGATAAATGTATTGCCTGCACATATGTAAGTGCACCCATGTTGTGCAATGCCTGAGGTGGTCAGAAGAGAGTGTTAGATTCCCCTGGAACTGGAGTTACAGACAATTGTTAGCCACCATGTGGGTGCTGGGAATCGAACTTGCATCCTCTGCAACAGCAGCTAGTGTTCTTAACTGCTGAGCCGTCTCTCCAGCCCCTCAAAATTATTCTTAATAAGGTCATTATTTTTAAAAGTATTTGATGGTAAATTATGTCAATTTTTAAAATTATTTTTAAAATATAGAAAATGCAACAAAGAAAAACAAATGTCAGCATGTTTGGGGTACACTGTAAGTATTCCTGTAACCTTTAAAAGGGAAAAAAGTTAAAGCTATACATAATGAAATAAAACCCAAGATATTTATTTCATATTGTCATATGTATTAACATTTGGCAAGAAATAGAGTATTTTGCTCATTCTCCTTTTATGCCCTATCTAACCCTGAGAAAGGTCATTTTAGAAAAAGTAATTTATCAACAAAAATCTTACTGTCTACAAATCCACAGACAGGCTCAGCTGCCCTTGGCTTCAATTTCTTGCTTTGCTCCTAGACAGCTAAGTGACCTCAAGTAAGTAAGTGCCTTTAACACTGTAGCTCCAGTTTTCCCACTCGTAAAATTAGATTAGCAACAATGCATTATGGGTGTTCTCTGAGAATTTCAAGATAACCTATGTGAGATGATGAAAGCAGATCCCAGTGTATAGGAGCTCAGTATATGGAATCAATTCATTTTCATTATTTTTAACAATTTTGGCATTTGTTTTTGAACACTGACTTAATTTCAAACATTAAACTTAGTCAAAGAAATGGATCTGGAACAATTTTAAAGAGGCAAATTACAACGTTCACTTATTTATTCTTCCATTTATTTATTTTTGAGACAGGGTCTCACTATATAGCTCTGGCTGACCTGGAACTCACTATGCAGACCAGGCTGGCTTTGAACTCACAGAAATCCATCTGTCTCTGCCTCCTAGGTGTTAGAATTAAACTCATGTGCCACCATACCTGGTCCACTATTATTTTTTTAAAGAAAAATCAAAACAAAACAGAACAAAAAAACACAAGACATTCAAACCCAGAACTCTAACTGAACTTTGGCTTCTTGAAATGCTATATACAGAATTTCAGATTTTATTCTTAGATGTTCCAAAGACTACAAAACATCCTTTGTTACTGTGGAAAAGAAACAGTTTTTTTAGGAAGCAAGACTTCATCATGCAGGAGTGTATGGATTTATGTCCAGCCCTTTGATTTAGAAAGGAGAACAGACCTTCCCTGAGTCAGAAGTTTTTCTCAAGCCATTATAGAATAACAATTATTACTTTCCACTTTTATTTTTATTATTGGCTTGAAAAAGATGGTTCTGTACAATGCTTATACCAGGAGGATATTATTCTACAAATAAGGGCCCAGCATGACATTTATGAGAAAGCCAGGGTCCTCCTGAGCAAAGCTGATTGGTGCTCAGCCAATGGGCTCTAGGATGCTGCCAATAAAAAACGCCTACTTCCCTGGGCTGGTCAGATGCAGGGCGGAGGGTTGCATCTGACTGTGGACCCTGGGGAGATGCTCAACGCTGGTCCAAGCAGCGAACATCTGTGGCTCACAAAGAGAAGCCAAACCTTGAAGATGAAACATCTGTTTCCTCAGTTCCCTCCTATTCTGGCCTTCTACTGCTTCTGCATGCTACAGATTCCCTCCTCAGGTAAGAGGACTCTCGCCAGACCCACCTGGACGGAGCTCTAGGGAAGACAGACTGATCTTGACTTCTCTGAGTGGTTCTGAAGGGATTCAAACTTCCTCTGCCTACCCTCATATCTACCCCCTTGCCTCCTGGCTTGGCATTTGTTTCTAACCGGGAATGATGGATACAGTGAGATGCCGTAGCCTTTTATTTAAAGAGAATTTCCCCAGAGAGACTGTGTTCTTGCCCCAGGAATGTCCCGACTTTGTGCTGCTAAAATTGAAGAGTGAGGCATGGTCTCCGTGTGAGTTGGGCACTGGAGGGCTGGGAGAAACTGTAGGTAGAAAAGGAATTATTTCAAAGCCCTCTTGCAGAGGGTGGCAAAGCCTCAGGGGGCTCTGGAAGGCGCTGTCCGAGGTGCTGACCCGGCGGAGCATCCTTTCTTCAATTTCTGAGAAATGTTTGTAGGGAGCCAGGAGTGGCCTGAGGGTCTAAAGTCCCCACCCACTATCACCAATTCTAGGTAGTTCACCATGGAGTTCAGGGAAGGGCTCCGTGGCAGGAAAGCTATGACTGGAAACAAGGAGAATTACAAAAATATGAACTTTTCTGTTAGAATTGTGATTTAGAGGAGTAAAAATACTTTGGAGAATAAAGAATGCTTGTTTTGTCCTGTTCTGAAGTGTAATTGCAATACCTGGGAATTGTGAAGAGTCGGGAAGGTCATCAGTTTAACGTTTCCAGAGTGCAGGGTCCCCTCCATGGTTACCAAGCTGGGCTTCTAGGCTCTGCTCACCTGCTTTTACTAACCTCCAGCCGACTGCCAGCCTGAGACAGCCAGCTGCTGTCCCTTCTGACCTCCAATAGAATCTGCTTCATAGTTTTGTTTTGGAAATTTGTTATTTTTAAGATTAACTATTTAAGATTAATTATTTATATTCACCTCCCTCTTTTCGATATTTAAGTTTGATCCCTGAGAATAGGGTCCTGTAGTCTTTACTTTTGTATTAACCTCTCAATAAGCCTCTCAATAAGTCTTCATGGGATTGATTTGTAGTACTTTGCAATATTAAATTATAATAATTAGCAAAAACTTCTTTACATTAAGCTGAAGTATGATCGCATCAAACTTCTAACCAGGAGTTCTAGTTGTGTTCTTTGAAGATACACAGAATAAGATGAATGTTT